AATGGGATACACACTATTACACCCAATGTATTGGTTGAACTGGATGGATTTGTGTCTTTTTTCAACCTGACTGTGTAACTATGTATGGTGCTGTATCAGAAAAAAAGTTTTTACTAAACTTCAGCTTTAACCCCTTCTGCACCACACTAAAGCAGAAATACTATTATAGGGCGGCACGGCTGCGCAAAATCACGTATATATACGTGATTTTGCAGTTCTGGGTAGAGGGCGCACGTGCGCCCTACCTGCACCACCATTCTCGGCCTGGGCTGTCAATCACTGGGTCCTTGCCATCAGCGGCCACTGATCGCCGAATATCTCCAATGGGGAAGAGACCTGTGTATAAACCAGGGGCGGACTGACCATTTGGAAACTCGGGCACTGCCCGAGGGCCCGGGGTCAGTAGGGGGCCCCATGAGATGCCCCTGGTACCTTTTTCATAAGCTTTTTTGAGTTTGGGCAAGGACACAGGGGCCCCATGATCCTCTATTGCCCGGGGGCCCCATGAGTTGTCAGTCCGCCCCTGGTATAAACAACACAGATCTCTCCCCCCTGTCAGCTCCTGCGCACTGCTTTGTATGGCTCTGCATAGCTTACAGTGGAAAGCACACACACAGCACACAGTTAACCATTTGATCACCCCAGATGTTAACCCCTTCCTGCCCAGTACCATTAGTCCAGTGTCAGTGCTTTTTATTAGCACTGATCACTATTGGTGTCACTGGGAATGTCAGTGACACCAAGTCAGTTCCCCCCAGTGTCAGAAAGCCTGCCGCAGTCCCACCATTACAGTAAACAAAAAAAAATAATTCCAGTGCCGCGAAACGAGTCAGCCATTTAAGAGTCGGATCTTCTGAACAGTTATATGGTTATATTCCAAGCGGCATTATTCATTTTATTAGTTTTTTATGATGTGTATTTGTGATACTAATATATGTGAATAATAAAATATTTTTTTTGTACTGATATCTGTTCTTGTTTTATACCTCGGGAGCTACATTTACAGTCCCAACTCTTAAATGCTGTTGTCACATAAATATTGAGGGATGGTATCTCCAGAAGGAATATTAACCCTATGCCCATCCTCCACATGCTTTTTGATTTAATTTTTTTTTTTAATTGGAAGTTATGGCATATAACTCACTTCCTTCCCTAGGGTGACAACTGTATTGAGCAGAATTGTCACCCTGGGATAGGAATGTATCAGCACTACGTAACACTGTGTTAGGACTACATATCACCTCCTTCTCTTCTCTATAACATGGGAATGTGTTTTGTAGTCTACAGACATAGCAGGGCACGATACTAACTGGTAAGCAGAGGGTACTTCAAGTTACCAGCTCACAACATTTCTGGCTGGATGAACAAATCCAGTATAATAAAATGCTTTCAATGGTATATTCAAGAGACCAAAAGAGAGAAATTAAAAGAAATGTATTGTTAGAGTTTACATACACTGTAAGGAATGAGGAAGAAGAGAGAGAATGCATCACTATTTACATATCTGCGTATTTGTGTCATTCCTTCACAAATCTACCTCCTATGAGTTGTGACAAGAATGGCCACAGCTGAAAATGTATTTATTTACTGAATATCATATATGTTAGAATTGAACAGTCTGTAATGCAATTACTTGAAAAATGTTTATGCAACCATTTATTATTAGGGATGTACCTAAAAACTAGACGTGCAAAACAAAAATTTGTTTTGTTTCATTTTGATTCAAAATCTAACAAATTTTGTGTAGTTGGATTCAGTAAATTTGTTCAATTCTTTTCTGGATTGGTTTAGATAATTCATATTCGAATTCAATTAGAATACATTTCGACCAACTTCAAAAAGTCATTCACATTCAAAATTGGTTCAATGGAATTTGAAATTGATTCAACAAAATTCGAAAAGTCATTCGAAATCAAAAAGATTTCGACTGAATTCGAAAAAAATTTACCAAATTTGAAAAGTTAAGCTGGCCATACACATGTAATTTGAAAAGAAAAAAATACAAAATAAAAGTCAGCAGGTACAAAAACTGTAGCTGCTGAATTTAAAAAAATGGACACTTACCTGTCTCACGATCCCGTGGTGTCCCCTCCCGGAGCTCGTTTCACCAGGTTCCATGTGTTTCCGGCACCGGCATCTTCAGAGTGGGCACCTGACTGTGACTGTCTGTGGCTTCACTGCTCACAGCACATGCTTGAGTAGCATTGGACTTTATGAATGGCCCTGTAGTCTTCTGGGACCTGCCATGTGTCCCAGAAGACTACGGAGAGAGAGGGGCAACCAATTGCCTAGGCAATGGCAGAGGAACTGGGAGCAGGTACCTATCAATTTCGGGTACCCGCTCCCCATAGGTGCCAATCCTTAATGGTGAGCGGGGGACCATCAGTCCTTAAAGCACAACTTCCCCTTTTGGGTTGAGCTCCGCTTTAAATTGGTTTTCAGATGTTTGTTTGAATTTTTTTTTTGAATCGAATTTTGGCTGAATTTTGTTTCATTATTTCAGATTGAATTCATTATTTTTGTCATTCTGATACATCCGAATAACGAAAAAATTTGTCCGAAATTAGATTCAGAATGAAACAAACTGCACATGTCTACTAAAAACAAATATGTCTGAGGCCAGTAGGACTGTTCCTTTATATCTACACACAAAACTCAGCCACTTTGGCACATTTTACTCCATGGAAAACCGAATGAGGTAGATGATGTTTCAATAACTGTAAGTGAAAGTGGAGGTGGCTAATATAAAATAGATATAGCTTATAAGGTGTTGATACCTTAATGAGTATCTGAAAATAGAAGAAGGCTTTCATTACATTATGATTATTAGAGAATTTATTTTATTGAAGTAGAAATAATTATGTAGTCAATAGGGAAAATGTTTATTGTTTGAATTACAGGTTTGCTGAGACTGACATTATATGCAGATCAAAGAACAAGCATTTGATTGGCACATAAGCAACAGTCAAAACAGCACGTAACACTATTTTTACAATGTAGTAATAAATGAAACCTGCGAACACTGCTTGCAAGCTTCATTCGTACAGTGGGAAACCAAAATAGAGTGTTAAAATATTGTTCCAATGTATATCTGAATAGCCTGAAATACAAACTATTTGCAGTATTTATTCATACAGAATCACCTATCAGGTAAAAGCAATTAAAGAGGAACTATACTGCACCTGAGCAACACAAACCAAAAACGCTATTTAATAATTTTTTACATTTCATTTTAATATTCAGAGCAAACTCACTCATCGATCCATGTCTCCATGCTTTATTTTGCTGAAAAATCATTCCTTAACCTGTTGCTGACCATGTAACATACACTATATTGCCAAAAGTATTGGGACGCCTGACTTTACACGCACATGAACTTTAATGGCCTTCTGGTCTTAGTCCGTAGGGTTCAATATTGAGTTGGCCCCACACTTTTCAGCTATAACAGCTTCAACTCTTCTGGGAATGCCGTCCACGAGGTTTAGGAGTGTATCTATGGGAAGGTTTGACCATTCTTCCAGAAGCACATTTATGAGGTCAGGCACTGATGTCGGATGAGAAGGCCTGGCTCATAGTCTCCACTCTAATTCATCCCAAAGGTGTTCTATCAGGTTGAGGTCAGGCCTCTGTGCAGGCCACTCAAGTTCCTCCACCCCAAACTTGCTCATCCATGTTTTTATGGGCCTTGCTTTGTGCACTGGTGAGCAGTCATGTTGGGAGAGGAAGGAGCCATCCCCAAACTGTTCCCACAAAGTTGGGATCATGAAATTGTCCAAAATGTCTTGGTATGCTGATGCTTTAAGAGTTCCCTTCACTAGAACTAAGGGGCCAACCCCAACCTTTAAAAAACAACCCCACACCATAATCCCCCCTCCACCAAACTTTACACTTGGCAAATTCAGTCAGGCAAGTACTGTTCTCCTGGCAACCGCTTACCCAGACACGTCCATCGGAGTTCCAGACAGAGAAGCGTGATTCATCACTCCAGAGAACACGTCTCCACTGCTCTAGAGTCCAGTGGTGGCGTGCTTTACACCACTGCACCCGAAGCTTTGCATTGCACTTGGTGATGCAAGGCTTGGATGCAGCTGCTTGGCCATGGAAACCCATTCCATGAAGCTCTCTACGCACTGTTGTTGTGCTAATCTGAAGGCCACATGAAGTTTGGAGGTCCTTAGCTATTGACTCTGTAGACAGTTGGTGACTTCTGTGCACTGTGTGCTTCAGCATGTGCTGACCCCACTCTGTCATTTTTCGTGGCTGAGTTGTTGTTCCCAGTTGCTTCCACTTTGTAATAATCCCACTAACAGTGGACCGTGGAATATTTAGTAGCAAGGAAGTTTTATGGATGGACTTATTGCACAGGAGGCAACCTATCACAGTATGACGCTTGAATTCACTGAGCTCCTGAGAGCGACCAATTCTTTCACAAATGTTTGTAGAAGCAGTCTGCATGCCTAGGTGCTTGATTGTATACACCTGTAGCCACAGAGGGGATTGGAACACCTGAACCCAATGATTTGGAGGGCTGGCCCAATACTTTTGGCAATATAGTGTATGTACATCAACAAAACCATGGGCTATAACGCCCACACACCGCCCATATGTGTCACTGGTAGAGATGTGCACAACATAAAAATGTATTTCAGTTTCATTCCTTGTGATTTCGTTTCGTCATAATAGTCATGTTAGAATTATTTGTTTTCAGAATAATTTGTTATTTTGGGAGAGTATATATTTGTTGTTCAGAAGTTAAGTTCGTCATTTCCCCATTCCCAACTGACTTTGTTTGTTAGGCTGCGAACATACAAATTAAAAGAAGGGTCTCTCAAGTTTAAACCAAATACAAACAGAATTTTATTAGAATTAGAGATGAGCGAAGTATTCAAAAATTCGATTCGGCTGATTCGGCGAATTCGCGGAATAAATTCGATTCGAGTCGAATATATTCGCTGCGAATTTAACTTATAAAAAGGGTGTTTCTAGGCTTCAGAGAGCCTTTATATTAGTGCAGAACACTGTACCTTTAATTTAAATGCCCTTGGAGTCTGCTGGGGAAGAGAAATAATACTGTCAGTCAGTATGACATGCAGATGAGTGCCGTCGATCTTAGAATCACCGCACACTTCACTCATTTGGGCAGTCACGGGGCCAAAACCAGAGTGTGGAGCCACAGTGTGGCGGTGGAGGCAGCAGCAATGGGAGGCCATACAGCACCCTATGACAAAATGGAACCCACCAGCAGTGTAAGGAGACCTGAAAGTGGCACATGGCAGAGTGTGGCGATGGAGACAGCAGCAATGGGAGGCCGTACAGGGACCCATGACACACTCTGGACCTGGCAGCAGCATGAGGAGGCGGTACGGGGGCCCATGGCAGATTACAGGCCTGGCAGCAGCAATGGGAGGCCCGTAATCTGCCAGCACCCTATGACAAAATGGAACCCACCAGCAGTGTGAGGAGACCTGAAAGTGGCACATGGCAGAGTGTGGCGATGGAGACAGCAGCAATGGGAGGCCGTACAGGGACCCATGAGACACTCTGGACCTGGCAGCAGCATGAGGAGTCGGTACGGGGGCCCATGGCAGATTACGGGCCTGGCAGCAGCATGAGGGGTCGGTACGGGGGCCCATGGCAGATTACGGGCCTGGCAGATGACGACGAGGCTGCCAAGTGCGATCAGCCTCATCATCATCAATTAGGGTCTCCGCCTCACTACTAGCCCCCTCGGCTGTGTGTGGGTCAGGAGACAGACCTGTCTCTAGACCGGCTACCGAGCCACTCTCCTCGCCACTACTTCTTCGCCTGGCTGCTGAAGAGGCGGATGTCTCCCCCGTTCCTGACCGCCCTCTGTTAGCTCTTCCTCACTGTACAGTGGGGCTGAGCCCACAGCATGCGATACTTCGCTGGTGAGGGAAAACCAAAGGACAGGGGCAGGTAGAGGACACGTGATTTCAGTGGGCTTGCTCCCGGGCCATGCCAACTAACGGTTGTGTCTGACGTACCCACCGACCGTTGGCTGTAGGTGTCAGAGGTGACCTGGGAAGAGGAAGACGACCGAGCCAACCAATCGATGACGGCAGGGTTATCGGTGGAGACACGACCGCTGGATGACACCCGGAGCACTGGCCTCTGGCTGTGACTAGTGCTGCCTCGACCCCTTCCTCTGCTGCCACGTCTGCTCGCTCCTGAAACATTGCCTCCTCTGCCACTCCTCTGTGTGTTGTCTGACATACTCTTTAATTCAACGATTCTGTGTCCCTGAGTAACGATTCTGTGTCCCTCAGTAACGATTCTGTGTCCCTCAGTAACAATTCTGTGTCCCTGAGTAACAATTCTGTGTCCCTCAGTAACGATTCTGTGTCCCTCAGTAACAATTCTGTGTCCTGAGTAACAATTCTGTGTCTGTCCCTGAGTAACAATTCTGTGTCTGTCCCTGAGTAACAATTCTGTGTCCCTGAGTAACAATTCTGCGTCTGTCCCTGAGTAACAATTCTGTGTCCCCTGAGTAACAATTCTGTGTCCCTGAGTAACAATTCTGTGTCCCTGAGTAACAATTCTGTGTCTGTCCCTGAGTAACAATTCTGTGTCCCTCAGTAACAATTCTGTGTCCCTGAGTAACAATTCTGTGTCCCTGAGTAGCAATTCTGTGTCTGTCCCTGAGTAACAATTCTGTGTCCCTCAGTAACAATTCTGTGTCCCTCAGTAACAATTCTGTGTCCCTGAGTAACAATTTGTGTCCCTGAGTAACAATTCTGTGTCTGTCCCTGAGTAACAATTCTGTGTCCCTCAGTAACAATTCTGTGTCCTCAGTAACAATTCTGTGTCCCTGAGTAACAATTCTGTGTCTGTCCCTGAGTAACAATTCTGTGTCCCTGAGTAACAATTCTGTGTCCCTGAGTAACAATTCTGTGTCCCTGAGTAACAATTCTGTGTCCCTGAGTAAAAATTCTGTGTCTGTCCCTGAGTAACAATTCTGTGTCCCTGAGTAACAATTCTGTGTCCCTGAGTAACAATTCTGTGTCCCTGAGTAACAATTCTGTGTCTGTCCCTGAGTAACAATTCTGTGTCCCTGAGTAACAATTCTGTGTCCCTGAGTAACAATTCTGTGTCCCTGAGTAACAATTCTGTGTCCCTCAGTAACAATTCTGTGTCCCTGAGTAACAATTCTGTGTCCCTGAGTAACAATTCTGTGTCTGTCCCTGAGTAACAATTTTGTGTCCCTGAGTAACAATTCTGTGTCCCTGAGTAACAATTCTGTGTCTGTCCCTGAGTAACAATTCTGTGTCCCTGAGTAACAATTCTGTGTCCCTGAGTAACAATTCTGTGTCTGTCCCTGAGTAACAATTCTGTGTCCCTGAGTAACAATTCTGTGTCTGTCCCTGAGTAACAATTCTGTGTCCCTGAGTAACAATTCTGTGTCCCTCAGTAACAATTCTGTGTCCCTGAGTAACAATTCTGTGTCCCTGAGTAACAATTCTGTGTCTGTCCCTGAGTAACAATTCTGTGTCCCTGAGTAACAATTCTGTGTCTGTCCCTGAGTAACAATTCTGTGTCCCTGAGTAACAATTCTGTGTCCCTCAGTAACAATTCTGTGTCCCTCAGTAACAATTCTGTGTCCCTCAGTAACAATTCTGTGTCTGTCCCTGAGTAACAATTCTGTGTCCCTCAGTAACAATTCTGTGTCCCTGAGTAACAATTCTGTGTCCCTCAGTAACAATTCTGTGTCCCTCAGTAACAATTCTGTGTCTGTCCCTGAGTAACAATTCTGTGTCTGTCCCTGAGTAACAATTCTGTGTCCCTCAGTAACAATTCTGTGTCCCTCAGTAACAATTCTGTGTCTGTCCCTGAGTAACAATTCTGTGTCCCTGAGTAACAATTCTGTGTCCCTGAGTAACAATTCTGTGTCCCTGAGTAACAATTCTGTGTCCCTAAAGTCTCTCTGGCCCTAACTCTGTCCCTAATACAGACAGGTCTGTCTCTCTTGAATGACCGGAGCTAATGGAGAATTGTAAGATGGCCGCAATTTATAGCTCCACCATTACACAGTGCTGGCTGGCTGCTGATTGGCTAATGCGATCACATGTCATGAATGAATGCATTATGGGTCAGCGCGACTTGTCTGCGCGCCTTACCAGAGATCCCCGCTCCGTCGCCACACATGTCGCCGCCATTTTATGGAAAATTCGATTCGTGCATCCGAAGTTGGCTAATTTTCGGATTCGGCGCGAATCGAATATTTCATAATATTCGAAACGAATTCCACTTCGCCATGTTCGATTCGCTCATCTCTAATTAGAATATTCACACTGCACTCACTAAAAAAAAAAGGAATAGATCCGAATCAATTCAGATCATTTGTTATGTCGTTAGGTTATTTTGGATGCTTCAAACATTAACAAAAGTCCCAAACTATCACAACATGTCATCTGAATGGAACAAATGAATACAAATTAATTTGTTGTTTTCATTATAATTTATTTTGGATAAGTTGAAAATCACTGCTATTGTGATTCAGAGAGATTTGGATACTTCCGAATCTCCGAATCATGCAAATTTCTTCCAAATTCCGATTTGTAACTAAACAAACCCGCACGTCTAGTCACCAGGCAGCCAATGTTTCTGAGCTGATGACATGCTTACCACAGGTTCCCAGCACAGAGACAAAATTGTCAAAGACAGCTTTCAGTCCCTACTAACAATCAGTAGCCAGCAGGACCGGCTGTCGATCATGTGACCACAGTGGTTACATGATTGCTGTTCCCACCTGCCCCCCTGAGCCTTCAGAACTTTTTAACCACTTGCCCTCCATTTTTTGCGATATAGTGCTGCATTACTTTAACTGCCAATTGCGCAGTCATGCAACGCTACACCCAAATGAAACTTATGTCCTTTTTTTCCCACAAATAGAGCTTTCTTTCGGTGGTATGTGATCGCCTATGCATTTTTAATTTTTTATAGGAAAAAAGACCACCAATTTTGAGAAAAAAAATATATATTTTTGACTTTTTACTATTAAACATGTCCAGTAAAAACATTTTAAAAAATCAAATTTTGTCATAAATTTAGGCCAAAATGTATTCTGCAACATGTCTTTGCTAACAAAAATCCCAATACGTGTAAATGAATTGGTTTACGTGAAAGTTATAGGGTTTACAAATGGCAGTATAGATACTGGAATTTTTATTTATTTTTTAAATTTTTACTAGTAATGGCGATCAGCGACTTATAGCGGGACTGCAGGACTGCGGTGGGCATTCTGACACTGGGGGGAACTGACTAACTGTCACTGACATCCCCAGTGACACTAATACAGTGATCAGTGCTAATAAAAAGCACTGACACTGTACTAATGGCACTGGGCAGGAAGGGGTTAACATCTGGGGCGATCAAAGGCGGTTAACAGTGTGCTGTTTTACTGTGTGCTCTGTGTGTTTCCCTGTAAGCACACTGCTATGCAGAGCCATACAAAGCAGTGTGCAGGAGCTGACAGGGGAGAGATCTGTGTTGTTTACATACAGGTCTCTCCCCCGTCTGTGATACACTGTGGTCAGTAATTGACAGCTGAGGCCTCCAATGGCAGCGCAGGTAAGGCGCACGCGCTCGTATGCGCCCCCTACCCATAAATGCAAAATCACATATATATGTGTGATTTTACGCAGTTTTAGTAAATCTCCCCCCAGGTGTTTTGGGACTGTACTGGGCAACCTTGCCCAGCCCAGTCCCAACAGAAGACAAGGCAAAAAGCCTCAGTCTCTATCAGGAAAGTACAACATGTAATATTTTTTTTCAGTGCAGCTTAGTGCAAAGCAATCCGCGACCTGTACCAAAAAAAAGCAAAAAAGCAAACAGTGCAATGTGCCGGAATTGGCAATCTCCCTACCATCTCCAGTGCAGTTATTGCGCCTGCTGGTGTGAATGAGCCCTAAAATACCTTTTTCCCTAATGATAGAAGGAATGTGTCAGAACCTGTAGTGTCCATGTCCACCTTCAGTACACTTGGCAGTGAACGCTATCAATGTGTCTTACTCATGGACTATTTTTACTGTATGGGATTTCAATGATGTGAATGACTTGTCTCTGCTCAGAGACCTCAGATTCCATTATAGGCCTGCACCTTTGTGCTGTTTGCCTAGGGTGTTCTGTGTAACTGCAAGAATGTGCGCCATAAAACTCTTTTGTAATCTCCTTTTCATTAGAAGTCTGTTGCCCGGTTAGTATCTGTGGGGGATGATACACAGACACACAAAGTCTTTAGTGAAGAAAGCAAATATTAATACGGAGCACAGCTTCCACTATACAGAATGCATTCTTTTCATTTCCTGGGATGCAGTATTAAAAGGGAGAATCTGAGTCGTCTATCTGATAAATAAAGCAACTTACCATCTTCTCCGCACCCCCCGCCCCCTTGTGACATGTATCATCATGCGCTGTGAATGGCCAAAGAACCGCACCTTACCTGTGGTCAGGTGCATTGCTTTGGCCTATCACAATGCACTGTCAGAGCACAGTGCAATGTGGGGCGCAGCGCACAAACAGCCCGCCGAACGCCCTTACCGTTCGTGTGTTTTCTGAAAACACAAACAGCTAATGTTCGACCAGGGGCGGACTGACCATTCGAGCACTCGGGCAC